GAGCAGTCACCAGCCACATCGACCTGATCAGTGTTTGATTGTTGTGTCTTGTTGCTTTTCTTCTTTTGTCTCTCCTCTATCCACTCACCCCAACCGGTCGAGGCAGAAGGCCGCCCACCAAGAGCCGGGGTCTGTCGGAGGTTTCTTCCGTTAAAGGGAGTTTTTCCTCCCCACTGTCGCCAAGTGCTTGCTCAAGGGGGATTTGTTGGGTTTTCCATATGTAATAATAGTGATAACAGTAAGGTCTAGACCTTACTTTGTAAAGTGTCCTGAGATGACTTTTGTTGTAATTTGGCGCTAAACAAATAAAATTTGATTTGATTATGATAAATATGAGTATACATTATCCATTTACAGTACATTACAATTACAGTTTTACCCTAATTTTTGAGCACGAGAGCACTGTATTTTATGAGTCTTATCAAAGTTAGCTGTTTGTCAAGACTTGATAAGAGACATATTACATTTACTGTACAACATTGCTGCCTGACTTACAGTTTATAGGTTATGCTAAAAAAGAAAAAACATTTAAGTTTGAATCATTTAGGATGGTAATTTCTGCTTAAGATAGAAGCCTCACAGTATTCCAACTGTTAACAAATCCAATGAAAACAACTTTCTCCCAGTGGCATCATCCAATCACAGCATCACTTACTCATATTTCCTTCTTCTGTGTTTCTGCCAAAATAACTGTCAGGATTTGACAGCTGTTTACCACTAAGAGCTTCTCTGTAAGTAACGAACAAGGCATGTTTGCCAAGACGTTTACCTTTGGCTATAGATATAGGCGAGATACTTGGATAATACTGAAGGCTTAATAAGTGTATGGCTCCCCCTGCTGAGAAATTGTTGCCTCATCAACCAACTGACACTCAAGTCAGTTTTAGGATGCTGAACATCAGTCTTGCTGCTTGCAATCAAGTGATCTGAACTAGACTCAACATAAACATCTGTGCTTTATCTGTACTATTAGAACTGAAGTCTGTGTATGACTTTCATTCATTTATACAGTAGTGGGACATAGTGCAACAATCTAGTGAGTTCACTTTCACATTTTGATGAACATGTACAGTATATATTTGTGTTGCTATTGTCCTTATTTTGTTTTTTGCTCTGTAGTAGTAGGTTTTGTGTGATGTACAATTAAATGAGGTTTTCCCTCACCACACATTGCTTGAGATGTGGTTCCAGTGTTCTGCCTGTAATGATGATACACAACTGGCTGAAAAACAAAATCTTTGACAGTTTGATTTTCAAAGTGTTACCATTCAAACAAAACTTGAGCTTCTAAAGAAAGACAATGTTTGTACTGACTGGTGCGCACTGAATCAATGTTTTTTGTGTTTTTTTAAATGGTGCCTGGTTTCATTTTACTGTGTCTAGGAAAATGTACTTTAGTACTTTAAAATTACTAGCCAGTAGCAGTGATCGTCACTGTAAACACCACTTAGGTTTCTACAGTTTGTGATGCCTAGCTGTTTTAAAATGAAACTAGATTTTTTGCATCAGTAATGTGAGATTTTCTGTTGCTTCTATGCTTTCTTGAATTTCACATACATAATTCAAAAAAACTTTTATATAGGGTATAAAATGTATCAACAGGTGCCAATTGTATAAATAGTTAATATATCTTTGGCACAGGCACAAACACTGTTCAAATGCAGAAAACCTGAGTGTGGTGAATTAAGGTTAACTTGTAAATGACATGGGAGTCTTATACAGCAGGTAAGAAAAAGAAAATTGCTTTATGTGAAATAACACAGGTGGAGTTAATGAGTGCAGTTTTGTGTAGTCATGCCATCCTGCCTCTGACAAGATCAGACATGAGCCATATTTTAACAAAAAAATGCACTTTATTAAATGTACAGCACACGCCTGGATCAATACACAAATCACTTTTTTATACTGAAGAAATAAAAGGACAGGTGCGCTTTAATTTCCCTAATACTTCGCCTGAGCCTTGTAGACTTGGGTTGGTGTTAGAATGCCAGCCTTAAAACGAACACATGAAGCATACTGGACCTGTGTCACTCAAAACAAGAAGTAAATAAATCTGATTAACTTGTCACTACAGTTGCTTCCATCACTGTAGCTTCACAACAAACACTAAAATAATAATTATTGTGATTAAATGGATAGATTTTATATATATGTAAATGTGTAGAATAAATCTCAGACTGTGATTCCCAAAAGCATCTCAGACACTTTTATTGAATTTAGCGGGCATTTAAAGCAAAAAATTTGTGGTTTAAATATATCAGCATGTGTTACATAACACTGTTACAAAGCTTTTTTGGCTAAATTTACACAGATACAAAAACCTTTTTTCCCCAAACCTTATTGTACTAAATGTCTCTATGTATCAATGCTTGTTTTTTTCTGTCTCTCATCTTTATGTGGCTCTCGAATTCTATGCCACACAACTGTGAAGGGCCACGAGGAGTACTAGAATAACCAAAGTACTGCACTGAAATAAAAACATCTAACAAATACAAACAAAACAGCATGTGGCATCTGCCATGTGCCAGGAATCAATAAAATTCAAATTTTTGTTTTGCAATTTAAAATGTCAGGAGTACATATAAATGTTGAGCTTCCACATTCACAAGAAAAATATGTTTAAAGCTAGTGGATAAAAAGTAAAAACATTTTGCACCTGTGTAAAAATCATAATCTTATAGCGCCATTCAGTTAAAAAACTAAGTAGTGTATCAAGTTGCTTTTAGAATCTGGCAGTGTGTGGGATCCTGTAGGTCCATCAGAACTGTATCAGTCTGATGAATCAGTTCGGAGGCTGCAACAGGTTTAGACTTTGTCACTGGGTCCAGTTTATAAAATGAACAAACAAAAAATAAATCAGAAACCCACTTGTGATATTAACACTCCTTCTGTTTTCTTCTGAGAGTGAGTAATAGGTGGCTACTTTTTAGTTAGGAGAAGTTTTACTTTTGTAGCTACAGCCATCGGTTGTATGGGCTTATAACAGTGCACTTGCCAAGACTCTGAAACACAGCAATGTCACCAAAAAACAACACACACACACACAAAAGAAAAGGTCAAAAGGGGAACAAAGAGCACCAGTCAGATAATGAGGCAAACTTTGATCTACCAAATCGGCTAGCACATAATTTGGAGGGACAAGGGAAACACAAGAAATGTGACTAAACTTCTCACTGCACACAAAAGCCATGAGCGCAAGCAACCACAGCCAGTAGACGGCAAATGGATGTCTACAAAGCACAGTCTGGCTATTACTTTTACTGTTGACTTCAGTTTTCTTTTTTGGCACATTTGACAACATTGTTTACAACCAGTATGACTGTATAAATACTGGTATTTCCTGCCCTGCTGTACCAGCTTTCAGTAATGTTGCCATGGTCCATGATCTCAGCAATTACTTGGTTAGTACGGTTAACAAAACATAATGTAGAGGTAATAAATCAGTCTAAGTCAGAAGGGACTACTAATATTCAGATTAAACAAATAAGACTTTAGTGAATTCTGCTAAAAAGAGAAATGGAACCACAAAATCAACCTCTTTGAGAAAAGACCCAATGGAAGAAAAAGCACTTCCAAGAACTCTTCTAGCCAGAAAGCTAGATTCCTTTTCAGACCGGTAAACGCTGACTGCTCAGCAACCCGTAGGCTCACGCTGGTCACAAACAATCTTAAGAAGGCAACATTTCAGAGAAAGGGCAGAACACTAGTAACCAGGTTTGATAAACGTTTACATTAACACAACTTTGATCTGAAGTGAAGACATGAAGGGGCAAGTGAATTCTGATATATCATTGATAGTTTTGAGTTGTGTTTTGAGGCAGATGGCAGTAAAACTGGGCATAATTTAGTTTGATCAAGGGTACAACATGAGAAAAAAAAACCCATCCAGTTTACTCTGTGCCCATCCTGAATTAAACTTTCACATTGACAAGGTTTTGCTCAGAGATGCTTTGAAACAGCAGTTTAAAAACACTACACACTCGCACGCTCTGTTCTCTCACACTTAAAGAAACTCCAGCTCATTACTCAGAGACTTTAGCCACTTCGAAGTTGACAGCGAGCTTCCTGTGCTTCCTTTTAGAGGCGGAGCCAGAGGTGTGGCCTGATGCTGGGACATTTTGTCGAGGAGGTGTGTGTGATGCTGCTGTCGCTGTGGAAAAAGTCTCTGCTAGACTGGGACTGGATGAAGGATTGCTATTGGCAGGATATTGGTGTGGCTGGTCAACTTTACTGCTCTGTGGTTCACTCTGTGCTTGTGATTGCCCAGAGGGCTGGTTCTGGGCTCTCTGTAATTGGTTCTTGGCCACGGTATGGGCGGCGCTGTAAAACTCTCGACTGTCATGGTTCTTCTTGTTGGCTGACACTCGCTTCTTAGTCACCTGTCATGGTCAGAGGACAAGAGAAAAACTGGGGTACGGTGATGGAAGCATAAACTCTGGACCCAAGGTAGAAATACACCTCATCAAGTTTTCATTCTGTTGAACTGCCATTGCCATCATGTTTGTTTACCTGTAATGGGATGAACTGGTTGTGTGAGCCGATGGGCAGTGTTGTTGCAAGCTGGGGGCGGGCGGCACCGGGGAAGGTTCCAGCTGTTCCGTAAAGAGCCTGGTTCTGTTGGTGGTGTGGAGGCAGTGCCATTCCCCACAGAGGGGCAGGGGCATACCCTTGGGGGGGCAACAGCAGACCACCTGCAAAAAGCAGATTATTGAAAAGTTCTAAATCATTTACTCAAGAAAGGAACTGGACATATGAGTAATATGTCGATACAAAGGAT